CCCCCCTCCCGCTTCTTCTTCCCCTTTTCAGTGGGCGAGTTTGTGAGTGATGCCCTTCTGGTCCCAGACAAGTGCAAGTTCCTTCACCAGGAAAGGATGGATGTGTGTGAAACGCACCTGCACTGGCACACTGTTGCGAAAGAGGTATATTCATCTGTCTTCAAATTTCTGCCTTCCTTCTTTACAGCTGTATCACTTCTTCCCAGGATGAGTTTTAAATGTAGCAGTGACATGGAAAACAGAAAGCAGTGCTTAGGAATGTTTGAGTGAAGGACGTTTTGGTCTGCTTTATGAGCCGGGAAACGGGACTCACTGCTAAGCACATCAGGGTCCGCTGTCGGATACTGAACATTGACCTTTGAGCGTGGACCCTGTTTCAGAGCACTGTATTTTTCCTCACATCCACTCGCACACCCACCATGTTTTCTGTCGCCTTCATCCAGCCTCCTGTGTTAGCGCTGCTCTGGAACTAGGTACTGATTGCTAATGCCTCGGCCTTGCCTTGATCGTCCTCCCCAGCGTGGGTGTTGGTATAGCAGGTGCCCCACAGAGATCAAACCGGACTCGGAGAACGCAGCATAGAAGGGTGGGAGAGCTGGCAAGACATAGGACTAGCCACAGACGTTTTGCAGTCAAGCACAGAGTTTTTACAATTTACCAGTGCTTTACCGAAAACGGAAATAAACCTAATGTTATAGTTGCTAATGTGTTTTGGACATTTTTGTCCTTATGTGGAGAGGTTCTGGGAATGAAAACTGAGATGAGCTTCAAGAAGGTTTCTGGCTGCTGTTTTGTTTGGAACCTCTGAGTTTGTATGTTATTGCACCTTCTGGAGATCAAAATTGAAATGTGCTCGGCAGCTTTTCAAATTTTCCATTCTTGCTTGAATCATACTGTTGCCTCTCAAATGAAGCAGTTAAGGCACCAACCTTCATGCAGGCAAATTCTAGTCTGTTTTAAGTATTTGTGAACTTGGAATGGCATAGCCTAGAAGAACATCATCACAGTGCACCGCTGAACGGTTTCCCTTTTTTCGCCTGTCCTACATCACTGTGACTTTAAGGTATAATTATTCAGAGCTGACTGTTTTCCAAGCAAGGCTAGAAGGTACTGTACTGACAGAGGTGTCAGACCAGACACAGCGTGTTTCCAGTATAACAGGTATTTTAAATGTTAATCCATCTTGCAATGAACTCTTTAATGGTATTAACACGTCGGGATCAGGGTTAGTACCTCAGATTATTGTTCGGCCTTCAGGTTTTCTGTTTATGAGGCAGAGCCTGTGAGGGTTTTAGGCAAGAGGATATGGAGTTGTCACGTGTATGGGAGGAGACAAGTCCCTCCATACTGGGAAAGACTGAAGGGCAGGGGAAGGGAGAGCTTGTCGCTTACGGTGGTCATGGGGCACAGGTAGGGAGCTGCCTACAGTGCAGGTAGTCAGTGCACACCTGACCGCTCTAAATCGTATTTCAAAATTTAGAGGTCGTGCAGTTCACTAGCTTCAACCTCTGAAGGCAGTACGCAGCCCCTTACGTTTTCTCGGAAGTCTGTGACGTTTTTCCCAGCTTCCTCCGTGACAATATTGTTGCTGTTTTCTTTCTATTTTCTGCAGTCCTGTAGTGAGAAGAGTATGAATCTGCACGACTATGGCATGCTGCTGCCCTGTGGAATCGACAAGTTCCGTGGTGTGGAGTTTGTTTGCTGCCCGTTAGCGGAGGAAAGTGACAATCTTGATTCAGCTGATGCTGAAGATGATGATTCAGATGTCTGGTGGGGAGGTGCAGATGCAGACTATGCAGATGGAAGGTAAGAGTGACTTTCTAGCCTTCGACTTGTTATTATCACCTTATTAAAGATGCCAAAAATCTGATTAAAAGACCTCGGTGTGGAAGAGTCACTACTCCGTATAAGTGAACTAGCACCTGCAGTGGTTGAAAACGTCAGTGTTCTACTTATTTTTTAACTTTCCACAGAAAAGCTTATTGTTAATATAGTTACTGCGCTTTTGACGCCTTCATCATTTCTTCAGTGAGAAGTATTACCGTATTTATAACAAAAATGGTTAAACACGTGCTTTTTGAACACTGAATGGTAAATACCGTACTCTTACTATGCTTCACGTGCGGTCTGGAGTACTGCAGCAGATACTCGGCCAATGTAACCGTCAAAGGTTTTGAAATGTCTTCATTCATAATAGGCATTAGCTGTGTGCCGTTAGTACCGTAAGAATATTTTTCTGCTGACAATTACTTTCTAAATGTGATCTTAAAGAAAATCTGGTTTAATGTTTAGCCTTTGGCAGATTCATTAATACGCTGCTGTTAAGGCAGAGTATGGAGATTTCCTTTGCAAGGCAGCGGTGGATGGGAAAATACCGTGCTTGTCTTTACCCTTTAACATCCCCTGTGCACACAGGCTAATTTTGAGCCAAATAGGGGTTATGACTGTATTGTAACTGAGTGCTCTGGTGCTGTCGAAGCCTTTTCATATCACTCTCTTGAGCGTGTTGACAGCAGTTGTGAGAACAGAGTACCATGTTACGTCCTTGCAGCTGAATTCAGACAACTCTCCAAGATGGCTTTCTTCATAAATCTAAGCTCTAATTACCAGCCTGGGCTTTAACGGTGACAGTTGAAATTCTGTTTGTGCTCCCTAGACTTCCATCACTCCATACTGTGCTAATGCAGTGTTTCTGCTTCTTAGGTGATGATACCGCATCTTTTACAAATAATATACAAAATCCAAAACATGGGGCTAATTACAAGTGGTTGTAAGGAGAACACTGAAAATAAGTGGGGACCGAATGAAACGAATAATGTGGAAAGTTAATAGTTCTGAATTGCGTAATGTTTGGACTTTTTAATAATCTGGATGGAAACAAGTTCTCGAACAGTGTAGAGATGAAGTGCAGAGATTGAATTGCTGTAATTTGGTGCAAAGAGATGGCATTAAGACAATGAAAAATTAGAAACCACAGAATGTCATGGTGGGCATCTAAATCGTTCCTGACGAGGCACTGGGAAGTGTTGCAGGGGAGAGTTCTTTGTGAATAATAACATAAATTTTCATTAGAATAAGTATTTCCCTATTGTAATTTCTGGTTTTCTCTCGTAAATGGGAGTGAATGGTCAGGACTGTTGGATGCAAGAAACCCACACCAAGCAACATTACCTCTTCCACCTTGACGCCTTCAGGCTTTTCTGACATGTACTTCCAAGAGCTGTCAAAGTGTCACCATTTATAACCCTTTCAGTGGGATTTGTAAGCCAGCCTTTGGACTGTTGCTGTACGTTTTGTTTAGGTTTTGATTAGAAATGTGTTCTCTTAGAATAAGAAATGAGTGCGGATGTTGTTCTAATTGAGACAAATTTACTTTTTTTCCTCTCCTATATATGTATACACACACACGATATGTAGATCTGTCTTTTATGCCTATTACCTGTTTTATCTATATATCTTATATTTATTATATATACCTATATATAAAATACATAGATATAAAACTT